TTGGAAATTGATTGTTTTTTTTATCTAAAGAAGAATCTGCAATATTGATGAATTAATAAATCCAATTAATTGTTCAATAATGGCTCGACATGTTTTTTTCTATCTTAAATATAAAATATTTCACAAGTAGATCTATTATTTGATTGATTATTCATTATTTTTTCTAGACAATACTTTAAAATGGTTGATATTTCAAAATTGTATAGAGATAAATTTTATTTATTTTATAATTTTGAACAAAAAGCTATAACTATTGTTTGATCATTCAAAGTTCAAAAGAAAAATTGGTTAGATCATCGACCTTCAATCAATTGAAATATGCATAACACGTATACTTCTGCAATAATCTCCCCTGAGAACAAACTAGAAAGGGAATAAAACAATATCTTTCTCACATAGCAAAGTAATTCATTTGATTGTTATATATTTTTCGCGTGACTCGACGACAGAAATGATAAGAAGATACTTATCTATTCTATGTAAACTTTTCATCAACTCAAATCTCAAAAGAAATTACAGAAAATAAATGAAAATCAATACATAAAACAAAAAAAAACCGATGATACTCAATGTGTAATTGAGTAAATTAATTATCATTCATAGAACTAAGAAAATAATATCAACAAAAGAATAACAGAAAAAATATAATAAGAATAATTCAATCCAGATGTTGTATCATTTGATATAGAACAAAGATTGTACAACATTAAGAATACTGAATACCAAAACACCGATTTATTGATAACAAAAAATTTGAGTATCTTCGTTATATTTTGATGCAAGAAAATGTTTTTTTTTTAACCGCATTGGTACAACGATATACATGATCCATATTTATGAGATGAATGTCAAGAAATAATTGCTGTTATGAAAGATTATTGTTGACCATGATAAAGAATATTAACTTCAAACAAGTTATGAAAAACGATATTGCCGTTTTTCAATAATATCTCATTGTTTACAGCTGAAACTCATTTGTATAGATCAAGTGATAGAAGTATAAGGAAATAGATGAATAAGAATTCTTTATCGAAACCAATGATCATATTTCAAAGAAGATTTATGAATAGAAATTATGTATATTTCTTCTATCATGAATAAAAGAAGTAACTCATTTAATTGAATTATAATGATGGTATCAAACTTTTTTTTTTTTATTCAATAGAATGACTTTTGAACTATTTTATACTAATACATATCAAAAACAACGGTTAATCTATTAAACGACAAGTAAAACTATTTCTTGATAATTATCTATATATCCTCTATGTAGAACAAATTCTACCTACAGACAATGAAAAAGATAAAAGGTATATCAAATGATTTTATCTTATACAAGAATCATTTGAAAAATCTGACATTTATATCAGACAGAAACGATTGATATTACTCTATATGAACGCAAGTCTCATAGCCGAAACGAACATTATCGAAAAAAAAAGATCGCCGAAATGAATATCATCGAAATATAAATCATCAATATAAACACCCAAATTTCTTATAAATAAGCTTGATGTAACTTTTGACGAAGAGCATACATATCAAACAAACAGAATAATGAGAAAAGCATTAATAAGTTACAAACGCCTAAAGTTAACATTTATCATATATATCATTTTTTCTTTCGCCACTTTCTAGCTTCGACATTTTTTCTTTCGACCTTTCAACAACATACCGATTTAGAGTCCTTGTCAAAAGTAGCCATCCTCATTAAGTACTACTATTGGTTTATGATGCTGCAATCATGTTTTGGGTACATACTGCCGATAATAAATCTTTCCTCCATCGGTTGGCATGCACTTGAAATGTTTTTGTTCATCATTTTGCTATTCTACAAGTGACTATTGTTTCTTGTTTTTAGTACTAAAAGCAGTTACATATATCTATTTTGTTGTCACCGAAGGGCGTAGCACATAGTCAAGATCATAGTAATTAGTAGGCTCTGAGCTAGTGAACCCATGTCATAGCGCTAACTCGACTTCATTAAGTTCTACAGCTCTAAAAATTTTAGAATGAATTCGTCATCTCATGAAAAATTTCGGCTAAAATTTTCAAATGAATTGGTAAAAGTCACGGTGGAATACACTTATCTTATGAAAAAAATAACATTTGCTCGTTAACAAACATTCTTAATGAAAAGACAATGTCTCCGTTATTTTACAATGATTTCTAACGAAATGTAGACGAGAGATAGTTACGACAGTAGCCTTTCGAATGAGGAGTTGGACAAAAATATTTATGCCAACATAGTTGAGATAAGTTGATGTCTGAATTATAATTCTAGCACAAAATATCATAAAGAATAGTAGTACTTCATGGAATGGCAGCTACTTTTGTCCAAGACTCTATATTATCTTAATACGATGTGTAAATGATTGTTGCTGAAAATTTTGATTTATACTATAGCTATCATTTCTGATTTTTCAAATAAGAAATATCATGATAATGATTAAAAAGAACTATGTAAATTTTTAAATTTCATATATAATATCAAGATTTATTTTATTAAAAAAAAAGAAAGCTAAAACAAGAAAATAAAAATGAATCACATTATATTACAACTATATGAAATTATCCTTCAGTTATTTCATAAAATCGCTTTTCATTTGTAGGAAAACGCCATTGTATAGCTTTCGATTTTCCTACAATAACAAATGGTTCAATACGTATTTGACGTTGATTACATGAAAGACGAATTGTTTGTAAATCAAATTTTCCTTCCGATTCATTATAATCATTCATTGTTTCACCATCATCATCATATAAATTAAATTCACTAGTACCATCTTCTTCAAATGGATAAACACGTATTTCTAAATGTTCTTCAATTTCAAATGGTAATAATGCACCTTCACGTACAAATAATGGAAACATATCTAATGTTGCTGATACAGTTATCATTTGTCCACCATTATAAATTTCATCTGTCCAAAAATTATACCATTTTGTACCTGATGGTAAATATAATGTTCGACTAATTGCATGTTCTTCATAAACAGATGCAACAAGTAACCATGGACCAAGAAGAAATTCAAATGATTGATTACGACATTTAATATCAGATTGAAAATGATAAACAGTTGGACGAATTATTGGATGACCAGTTATCATAGCTTCATGTAAAAGTGAATATAAATATGGTTGTAAACGTTTACGAAAATTTAATGCATCATATATAAGTGGTAATGCATCTGGATACATCCATAATGAATTTTCACTATTATCATCATCATTTTGATTTTGATTTTGATTTTGATTTGGACGCCATGAATGTACACAAAATCTTGGATGAAATATTCCATTTTGTATCCATCGAACAAACAATTCAAGTGAAGGTTTTTCACCAGCAAATCCACCTATATCATGACCAATTAATGGAAAACCACTTAAAGATAAATTTAAACCCATTGGTATATTATATTTTAATGTATGCCATGAACAATAATTATCTCCTGTCCATGTACCACCATACCGTTGTGTACCTGAACATGCAGCACGTGTTAATAACCATGGACGAGATTTAGAATTTGTTGTTATTTGTGCATCATATGATGCTTTAACCATTAATATTGTTTGTATAGATCTCATACTTTCAATTAATTGACCATTAAAACATTTTGCATGAGAATTTTGTATATTAAATTCATTATTATCATTCCATGTACAATCAATTCCATTAGCTAATAATTTTGTTATTATTTGATTTTTCCACCATTCAACAGTATTTGGATTAGTAAAATCTAAATGTGCACCAAGACCACCCCAAAATGGTGCAAGATCAGGTTGATTTTTATATTCATCTTGTATAAATAATGAACGACATTCATTAAAATCTGGATGTGTTGTAAGCATAGCTGGTTTTATATTAGCTAAAATTTTCATTCCAGCTTGATGAAAATTTTTTGTTACTGTTAATGGTGATGGAACACGTTTTTTATCCCAAATAAATACATAACGTTTACCATCATCACTATTCATTGAATAACCAGATGATAAATGAAAACCAGTACATTCAATATTATATTTTAAACAATTATCAATAAATTTTTTAAGCATATTTTGTGCATTTAATGAATCAGTATATTTCATTGCTGAACCTAAATAACCAAGTGTCCATTTTGGTGCTAATGGACAATGACCAGTTAATTTTGTATATTGTTCAATAACATGTTCAATTAAAGGTCCATTAATAAAATAATAATCAAGATCAGGATCTTTTGTTTCAAAATATAACATATTACCAAAATAATTATTTATTTCACAACCCATATCAAATGTACAATCATATGTTGTATCATAAAATAAACCAAATGCACGATCATGTCGTAATGTTATATAAAATGGTATATGTTTATAAAGTGGATCACTATATTCAGCATTATAACCCATAGCATCCATATTTCTCATACGATATCGACGAAATTTTTTATCAATTGGACCACTTTTTTCACCTAAACCATAATAATAATACTCATTTTCAATATATGGTCGTGATAATGTATGACGAAATTGTTGTATTGAATCATCATATTGATAACCACAAATAGGATTATCTTGTAAAAGAATTTCATTATTTATAATCCATGTTATTGCAAATGGTTTATGTAGATGAATTTTACATGTAAGTTTCTCAGTAGATAAAATTACTTGATTTTTATCATTAAGTATTTTGAAAAAACAGGACTCATTATTATTCTTAATTATTGGAATTTCATGACGCAGACGACCTTCATATGGAACATCATTTGTTTCATGATCAACAATAGCCCATGTACGTGTAGTGACGGGTGTTCCTTTAGGCCAAACTCGAATACGAATAAGATTATTAGTTAAAACAGTGATTATATATTTTGTTGATGAATTATCTTGAGAAAAAATTATACTATTCGTTTTATCATCTCGTGTCCAATGTAAAGTTACATGTTGAATCGAATCTTCATAAAACATTATCTAGAAAGAAACAAAAAAAGAAATTGAAAAAGATTATTAGATCAAGCAAGTCAATCATCTGGATATCGTGTTCCATTGATTGTCCATGATGTTGGAGTAAATTCCTTTACAATTGATTGCACACGTTTTAAATGTTCTTCTCTGAGTATTTCAGTTATATTTTGTAAATTATTCTGAACTGCATATGTTCCAACTACACCTGCTGCTTGTCCTATGGAAAATTCGACTGGATGCAAACGAGTTGCTGAATTAACTAAAAATGTTTGTGCCATTGTTTTACCAATTACAATTAAATTATCAATATCTCGATTAGTCATTGCACGTAAAGGTATATAGTAAGGAAGTATTGAATAGGATTCATGCATATATGATGGATAAGTACATTGGACCATAGAATGAATATCAACATTGTAAGCACCTATACATAAACGATCATCAAAAATATATCCATGTAAATTACGTGCATAACCACTAATAGTTGTAATATTCATAAGAAAATTTTCAAAACCAATTGATCGACGTGATTCTCGTAAATAAGGCATTTTTGCTAGACCATGACACGTACCTGCTGCTGAAATCGATCGTATGAGAACTGTTCGATTTGTCCATTGTGTTGGTGCATTTTTTCGATACCAATAATGATAACCATAAGCTAATCTTTCAGCATTTTCAATAGCATCTAAATTGACTCCACCTTGCCATTGATTAGTATCACGTTGATGTTGTGTATCAGATGGAGATAGAAAAAAGTATTCCTTTCGATAATCATTACCTTCCGACCAATTCTGTATTGTTAAATCATTGACTGCAACTATGTCTGAATTCGGTGCAGATGTGTTTACTCTTCTATATGTCCATATACGTTCCCATGTTAAATGTTCAAATGAATAATTTGCTCCTCCAGTTGGTTCAGGTAATGGATTAGGTAATTCATCGACAGGTGTCTCACGTAGTTGTTCAAGAAAATCAAATGTAAATGATTGACCACATGTTGAATTTCCAATACCTGACGTATCACCGTCGAATTCTTCCATTAAACCTTGTATATAACTTGCATTAGATAATACTAATACTTCACCCCATGAACTACCTTCAATTACAAATGATATATTTCTAAATGATAATTCATTTTTTGTAAACCATAAACTATCTTCTTTTGAATACCAATCAGGTAATTCTTCAGATAAAAATCGACAATGTTCAGAAGATGTCTGTCGTTTAGAACGTTGTATTGCATCTATTTGTATTATACGACGATTACTTGAATCTTTAGTAATATGTTTAATAACAGTATTATAGAATATACGAGTATTATTAACTAATGGTAATATGACTTGAGAATGAAATAATTCAGGAATAGAACATTTTGGTGACACCCAACAATGACCAGTGTTTCCAAGAATATTAAGCATTTTTACAAAAAGTGGATTTTGATTATTTAATTGTCGATCAATAGAACCAACATTTAGAGTAAAATTAGTATCCTTATCTTTTATAATGTGATAAGCAAAATCAGGTGCACTTAGAAGTTCAGCTGTTAATTGTCCACCAATCCAATCAGTTGGTTCAAGTAAACATGTAGGTGTATTAAGAATTTTTGAAGCTGATAGTAGAGCACCTAATGCTGATGTTGTACCACCAATAATCAACAATTGACAATCATCAATAGTACGTATAGACGAATGGATGGAATTTATTGTTATGAAAAATATAATAAATACAAACATATTTTTCTAATTAATCTAAAGACTAAACATAAAACAGTAATATATTTATCCAACTGCTGTTATAACTTTAGTAGTTGAAGCAAATTAAGTTAATCCTTCTGTTATATATTGCTTATGCATTATTATATGAATTTTTATCAGATGAATCTGAGTACATTTTAAATCGTATTCTTATGATGTGACTATTATTGAATCATTGTTTACATCTGAACAACGTAATTATCTTTGTATGAATCATATGTCTTAATGGTATTTTTAGTAGGTAAATTGTTTTTTTTTATTATTAGTTATGCATCACATAAGTTGATATTTTTAGATGTATCAACCGTATCGAGCCGTAAATAATAACAAAGATATCTATTTGATTAGAAGAAACTAATAAACAGATCTATGAATATCTATCAGTATAATTGCCTCTCGAGATTAAAGACCTTTCTCCTCGGTTACTAAGTAAATGTAAGAAAGGACTTTATTTAATTAGTTTCTAACTAAAAAAATGGCATGTATAATTGTATTCTTATCTGTATTTATTCATTTCCTCTATCGTTAGTAAAGCGCATTCGTCAACATGTTGTTCTTGGGATAAGCAAATATTGATGTATTTACTGTATCATAATCTATATCATATCATTTTTCTTTTTCTATGTCAAGTACAGAAAGTCGAACTTACTCAAGTTCCATATCAAATAATATATCATCATTTGATGTAGATATTCGTTACATATGTTAGAGAATTTAATCCGATAGAAAGTATCTAACGAATTGTAGTATTCTAGTGTAAAAATAATATTTGGCTATAGATGATCAATATATGAGTTAGGTAAGTTTCATTTTAATACTATTGTACGTAGATTTTTCTAAGCACTTAGATAAGTATACGTTCTTCTAGTACGAGAAATTTAGATAAATAAAATAGCTTTTGAAGAAAAATTAGATGTTGTTAATCGTAAATGAACTAATTACCCACTTCGTTTTTTTCATAACTAGAGTCTGCTTGATGAGAAATGAATGTTTCTGTTTATCGGTAAATCTGATAAGAGGATACATTAACAATGTGAGAATAAAGAGATAAAGTGCATAAGAATATTTATTCGTTGCTTCATCTTTATACTAGTTACCTAACACTATCATGTCTGCGCACTGTTTTATTAAATGATGTGATAAAAAATAGCAACGAGTGTATCATTTTCGTCCTTTTATCATGTCTATCTTCTTCTTTTTTCTTTTTTTATAAACCAATGATTTGGAGTTGAGCTTGTGTTGTTCTGCAAGTTTTTTCACAAATATACTTTTTCATTTAATCTGAAACATAGCTAATAGTATCATTGCAAATTATTATAAAAAGTTTTGAAAAAAGTAGTTGTTATGATACTTCTTTGATTGCTAACAGAAGAAAGATGTTTATTTTATATATTGATGATTCTGTTTAAATTAATGTATTTAATAATGAATCATTAAATTAAAAGTGTTGATATATTGTAAAAGAGAAATATATAAAAACATATCTAAAGAAAATTAAATCTGAATATTCCTTTCGATAATTATATTTTAAAATAAATTAAACATGTTCAATTTTTGGCTCTAGATATTACAACTTAAAATTGTTGTTCATATTTTTAAGTGAAAAATTGAAATTGAGATAATAGCCTGAGGTCTAATCAAAAGCGAGAAATCTTTTTCTCTGTTTACACTTTTTCGTTCATGCAACCCAGAATCTTCTATGGACCTTCATCCTATATATTTAATTTTGTTTGAAAGAGCATGCCAGAATGCTGGACATGACAGAGCTTCTTTTTTTATTTAAGCTTTGTTACTATTATATAAAGAGTACTTTTATAATTTGAGCGCTATTTTTCGAGACATTGAACTATTCGTCCTTTTTCTCCGCTTAAACAGTAAGAATTAAAAAAAAAAAGAACTCTGTCGTCCTCTGCATCTTGACATGCACTTCTACATAAAAAAATTAAATATATAGAATGAAAGCTCACAGAGTATTTTGGATTGTCAAATGAACTGTTTGTTGAATATCTCCCGAAAACCTTATGATATTGGGCTGAAAATTTCATGCGATTCGAATGTATGTGATCCAAGATTGATTGTTGAGAAAGAGGTGATCTTTATTAAATTAATAATAAACAATATAAGTACAGGCTATCTACTCATCGAAAAAAAAACAATTTTTTTAAGAAATTTACACAACGAAATGAATAGTTTGAAAAGAAAAGAGGACAAAACCTAAACATGGAGTAAATAAAATTAATCATTTGGTTATCATGTGCGATTGATTGTCTATGGCATGGCGGTGTGAACGTCTTCACTAATAATTGCACACGTTTTAAATGTTCACCTTTGAGCATTTCACCTATATTTTGTAAACTATTTTGAACTGTAAATATTTCAATTATATCACCTGCTTGTCCAATTGAAAACTCCAATGGACGTGTAAACAAGTTACTGAACTAACTAAAAATCTTTTCACCATTATTTCATGTACATGACCATTAATAGTTGTAATGTTCATGAGAAAATTGATATATCACCATCGAGTTCTTCCATTAAACCTTGTATATAACTTGCATTAGATAATACTAATACTTCATCCCATGAACTACCTTCAATTAATAATAATAATAATCTCCCATAGGCTTATCGTCGGTTGTGGCCAGCCGTGATTACTATTAGGACCCACATGCAGCCGGTTTCTATCGTCTTTTTCTTTTTACAGACGGCGGTATCTGCACTCCTTCCGTCTAACGTACTGACTAACGATGTATTCAGCACGCTGCGAATGAGTCATTCGAGACAACTTAATCGTTAGTGACTTGTCCAGGATCATTCCATGGATGGTGCTACTGAGATTTGAACACAGTACCTTGAGGATACGTGTCGAACAACGTAGCCACTCAATCATGGCGGCACCTTCAATTACAAATGATATATTTCTAAATAATAATTCATTTTTTCTGAATCATGAACTATCTTCTTTTGAAAACCAATCAGGTAGTTCTTCAGATAAAAATCGACGATGTTCAGAAGATGTGTGTCGTTTAGAACGTTGTATCGCATCTATTTGAATTATACGACGATTACTTGAATCTTTAGTAATACGTTTAATAACAGTATTATAGAATATACCAATATCTAGGGTAAAATTAGTATCCTTATCTTTTAAGTGTGATAAGCAAAATCAGGTGCACTTAGAAGTTCAGCTGTTAATTGTTCACCAATCATTCAATCAGTTGGTTCAAGTAAACATGTAGGTTTACTAAGAATTTTTGAAGCCGATAGTAAAGCACCTAATGATGATGTTGTACCACCAACAATCAATAATTAGCAAGGATCAATAGTATATACAGTTGGGTGGATAGAACGTATTGTCATAATAGGCATTAAAATAGAAGTAAATGTTTTCCGTAATATTTTGTTGAAACATTGTAATCCAATGTCGATTGCTATCACTTGTATTATTAATTGGTATCTTGTAGTAAAATTACAAAACAAAAATAATATTCACTGTGGAGAAAAAAGATTTTTGTCATAGTTATGTACGATAATGAAAACTGATCATTGAAACATAGACCAGAGAAGAAACAGAGTTCGGTGAAGTGTTAAGGAACAATGAGAAGGGTATCATCCTCTTTCTAAATACCTTTGGATTCGATTGCAATAGTTTATATTTTATCGGTATTTTTTTGAATACTAAGTGAAAATTTGAGAACGAGATTGAATGAGTTGATGATGATGATGACTATCAATAGAGAGTACGCACGACCTTTGTTGTTCTGAAAACGTTCTTGAAAATTCTAGAACTGTATGACTATATAAGAAAATCTTTCAAAATTTGAATTTGCAACTTCTGACGTTGAAAGTAGTAGTAGTAGTAGTGGTAGAAATATTTCAACTTTGTTCTACACTTTTCTCGATGTGAACAGAACTCTGTGTGACTTCGAATCATATTGGATTAAAAGAAATTATCTTGGTGATATCACTTAATGCACCGATTAAAGTTCGTTTGATTAAGTTCAGTTTATCGATTAGATAGAACATCTGCAAACTGCGTAGTACTAAGCTCGTAAAATGAGATTGGTAAAAATGATTATAATAAATTCTAATCCGAGGTCATAATAAACATATTTATCAATATCAGCTCGATCGTTATCATCAAGTCTTCTGTTGTTCTTAACACCCATTGATAATTTTTGCCTTTGCATTTCTTTGATGCTTAATTTTGGAGAATTGATATAATATTGAAGATAAAGAATCTACTCTCTTCCGATATCTGTGTCTTTGTTTTTTTAATAAGAATATTTAACTAGTTGATTAAAGAAATGACACAAAATGTCGTTATGAAACTAACTTACTAAGTTAAACTGCAGTGCGTAAAAATTCATTATTTGAAATTCTTCTAGGGTAAAGAATTTACATTCTTTTATGTGTGAAGAATCTACAAATTAACATCTATGATCACTTCATTTATCGTTATATTTATTATGTTGACAATATGCAAGAAAATTTTAGCGATCACAATAGTTCTGTGTGGTTTTATTGATTATCGTAATCAAGAAAATGTTTTCTTTTTTTTAAATCAAAGACAATTCGAAAAAAATACTTCCAACAAATTGAGTGTGTGACAATAACTATGACTACTGGCGAATATTTTCGCTGTAGCAACAACTTTATTAATTCTCTTATGTGGTGTCTTATCTACAAAAATCAGTACGTCTGGTATGCCCTGGATGCTGCAATATTTGTGCAAACATGTCCATCTTGAAGTTGATGATGATCTTTATCATTGAATGGTAAAATCAGCATGTCATAAGAAAGAACGTCACGGATTATCGCCTTGTTTCTTCTATTATTCTTTTCTGATAGGATCGATAGTATACATACAGCAGCATTTCTTTACAATAGTAAAACCACTCTGATGTATGAATCACATACTATATCATAGAATCTTTTTTCTTTCTATTTCAGACCTATCAAGTCTAATATAACAATTATCATATTCTTCAATATGTTATTATGTTGTGTAAATATTCGTGACGTATTTAAGACATGGAAGACGATAAACAACTTCCTACTGACTATAGTCTTTTACTTGAGAGCAGTTTTCATTTTATATGAGCAACATATTACTTTGATAAGTATTCCTTCTTTGATAATAATTAATCTGTGTCAACAGTTCTTTTGACAGGTACTGATCTATACCAAAAAGGTTTTTTCTTATAAACAGAACAATATTTTTCTGTTACTGAGAAAGTTTTTCCAATAATAGGACATAATTGTTCTATTCCGAGAGTTTACTTTCAATAACAGTACAACTTTGTTCTGTTTATGCGAACAAAATCTTTTGAGACTAGGAGTGTCGTATTAGCATGAATATTGAAAAAAAATGATAATTTCTAGGCATTAGTATTCAGATTAACTCCAATGCTTAGTTATGATTTGTTATTAGAATTATATGAGCATTACTTTTAACTTCGATAGATTTTTTTTTAGCTGTGATTAGACTTGTGATGGTTCAAGCATAAAAGTTTTCAATAACAGAATGCTTTTATTCTATTATTGAAACTTGTTTTCTCATCATAGAATAAAAGCATTCTGTAATCAGGTGCTTTTGAGGTTGAGCTGTCAGATGTCAAACCACAGATAATCGATGTATTAGACTTGCAAACAATGTTAATTTAATGTTAATACATTACCATTAATTAATTCTAATGCAAAATAATAACAAAGCATTAAAATCAATTTTAATAATAATGCCCTTACGCATTAGCATTACTATGAATGAATTCTAATGCTAACCCTAATATAATATTGTCGTACGTCTATTCATGATTGATAGCCTAGATATAAATTGAATTTAGATGTCAGTTCTTTGTTACCATAGTTAGCTGACGTTTTGTTCATGGATAAGGAAAGAATAGTTTTTGTCATTGGTTATGCAAACAAAAGATTAATGGAAAAAAATGCTTGTTTTTATAAGAACGAATGTCGATGTTTAAAAAAATTAGATTCGAAAAATAAAAAAAACGAATAGATTTGGTCCACATAACAATGAATTAATTATGTCATTCCCTTTATAGATGCTATCAGCAAATTCAGACATAGTTTTCTCCAGTTTTCGTACATAGTTAGTAATCAACTATATTGATACGATAAAAATAATGACAAAAAAAAAAAGAAAGACATAGGATCTTTGTCATTTTCTATTTACTTTGTCCATCATCTCATATTATCACATTTATAACTTTTATTTCGTAATTTTGCCAACACAATAACAGTTGACGTACAGTAGTAGATAAAAGCATCTCGCACCCTCCCTTCATATTTCGGCTACTATATATACTCCAGGTCTAAAAATTTGTGTGTATATTCTTCACTAAGAATATAAGTCTGAGATACGAACTTACCTTGATTGTTTAAATCAAACGAGAATTATGATAGATGGCAATGGATCGCATATATTTACTCTTTTAATTTCATAACTTTGAAAAAGAAGAACTTTGTGAGTCAACCCATTCTTCATTATTTAGTGGTTTATTCTGGTTATCTACTATAGTAATTTCATCGATGTTCGCCAACTCTTCCTGGAAATATAGTCATTTTTTCGTGACTATTCTGATGAAGGGTAGAACTATCTGCTGGTCTTTGGAGACTATAAATCAATAATAGTTTAGTGAATCGAGCTTTGTATATAGATAAAGTTTCATGATACAACCTTCCACTAAATGAAAAGCCCACTAGAGTAATCATCGTGCTGGTACAGAGAACTCAGAGACAGTAATCTTCAATTAAATCATCTGATCTTTTGATTAAAAAAAAGAACATAGACTAGACTCTACTTGCACGCTAAAATGTCAAAAATTAATCATGTGTTTGATAACAGGTAACAAAAAATTTAGTAGAGAACCTTTTTTTGATTAAAAACTTGAAGCGAAAATACGTGTCCTTCATCATAATTCTTGTTGTATTTAAGCAATCGCTGTGATCCTTGTGTTTCTGAACTAAATTCTTAGTATAGTATATGCATACAAATTTTTGAGACTTCTAGTATGTAAAATAGCTGAGACACGGGGACTGGAGACTTTTGTTCACTACAATAAACTTCGGTTTTTTTTCTACTATATTTACCTTATCTTGTGTGTCTAAAAAAAATGAATAATTATAATGTTTATCACGTTATATAATTTTATCATAAAATTATCTTGAATTTGTTTTTTTTTATTATTAGCATATATTTGTTGGTTTGAATAATGAATGTATAACGACGTGCTATCATAAGAGAATGTTCCACTGCCAAGTTTACGGTAAGTCCGTTGTTGAAATACAGATAAAAAGAATAAAAATACTTATGGTCTTTTAGTTATTTCCTTTCTATTATTAATAATAATGAATGTCAATAGTGTGACATCGTTCAATAAAACACAGTCAAAAGATATTCATTTAGAAGCACCTCATTTGAGTGATAAAATTCGTAGTAATCGACCGCGTCTTAAACCACTGGCAAATGTTAATAGAAGTAGAACAACACCTACAATAGTTACTAATCAAAATGTATTTAATCCATGTAACGGTACATATATAAAAACTAATGGAACAACTTGTGGTCTTAAAGAAATAATGATTGGTCGTTGTCATGACTATCAATATGTTAAACATAGTCTTTTTCTAACAAATCAATCGTAAGAAAAATATTTCTATTTTGAAAACAAAAACAAGAATTAATTTTCTTTTTTTTTTAAGTAGCATAAAAAATTGTACAAAACTTTATGAAGTATTTGAATCAGCAGTTCGATATAAATCATACTGTAATATGAATATGAGTACATATGAACGTTACTTTGATCTAGCACTCGATGGCGTACATGTCATTAATCGGGTAAGTAAATAATTAATGAAATTTTTTTCTGTTTTTTTTTTTAAATTTCATTTGTTTTTCATATTAGGCAATGTTTTGGAGTGGTACATATGCTATTACTCATACTTATAGTGGTAATGGTCGCAATTATGTAACTTTAGAAGATACGCTGGCAGCAGCTATGGTTGATGGTCTTATATGGTGTGGAAAAGAAAATGATACGGAAGGTTTTGATTTTGTTAGTTGTCCATATACTTGTAAAAGTAATCAATGGGCTGATTTGGCTTTTTGGGGATTGGCATCAAAAACGGTAATATAAAAGAAAAAAATATGATTTAATTTCATTGAAATTTTTGTTTCTTGTTTTTTTATTATGTCAGTTTGCACAATTAGCAGTCGGTGAAATTTATGTTGTTTTAAATGGAAGCCAAGCACATGGTAAATCAGCATTTCGTAATAATTCTTTTTTTTCTTCTTTTGAACTTCCTAATTTACGCCGAAATGGTACATACCGTGTTACAAAAGTCAATACTCTTGTTTTACATTCACCTGATGAAATAGCTGTGTATGTTTATTCATTATTTTATTTCATTAAAAAAGTATAAATCTTTCTTTTTGATTTAATTTTCAATAGAGAAAAATGTGGTGAAAAAAGTCTTCTTGATTTAGAAAAATTAGTTCGAAGCCATGGCTTTGATTATGCATGTAAAGATGATCCAGAAGAATTAATTTTAATTATGTGTAGTGACAAATGGGAAGCACGTGAATGTCAAATAGCTCGAGAAGTCTTACGACAAACATGGAATATAAAATTATATGGAAAATCAAATAGCAATCGAAATTCATTATCTTTAATTGTCTTTTCGTGTCTTTTCTTTATTCAATATTATAGTTTGAAAATAATTTCAGGTTAAATGTAATCCAACTAGGATTAAATAAAATGTAGTTAAGTAACAAAAATAAATTGAGTTTAAAAATGAACACAACATAGATCGATTATCATCAATAATTAGTTTCGATCATTGTTAAATTGTAATGATATGATTTCTATCATTTGTTAACTATGATATGAGACACTCACAGATGTGACAAAAATTATCCGTATGATTTTGATAACAGAATAGAAAATATCTATTATTCTCATTATCGTACACGTGGAAATTATATTTGTTTGGAAAAAAAAATTGCGATTTTCAATTCTCTTGCAGAAGTCTCTCAAAATAAAGATCCGCAATTTTTTATTAACTAAATCTACTTATGCACTAACTAGAATTGCATTTCAAAGAAAATGGTACGAACGTGTCACTTATTCTTTCCAGCATTTGATGACTTCATAATTAAATGTTTTGAAATCCTGAAGAACGAAAAATGTCGTTATTATCAAAATTGTACGGATAATTTTTGCCACACCTCTATATGATCTGTTTCTAAAATAAACGCAATGATCACATCATCGATTTCTATGACGTTTTCGATAATCGATCAAAGTTTGAACTAGAGAAGAGTCGATCGATTCAGATCAATGACTAAAAAGTGTATCTTTTTCTTTTTTTATTAAAGATATTTGAGTCAAATCTAAAATTTCAATTTTGATTCGATGAAATCGAAGTTTTTCTTGTTTTTTTTTGATGCACAGGAAAATACAAAGAAAGACAAACAATTAAAATAGCAAAAGTTTTTTAGTTCAAACTTATTAACAAATATTGAATGAGAGTGTGGATAGAATAGGGACCTCGTTCTCACCCACATCCAAACTATAATATATGCATATACTTTTCATTTCTTTTCTACAAACTTGTATCAGAATAACTAATGATATAAAATACAGATAAATAGTAAATTTTACATTCAGTCTTCAAATTAACGATCTTTTACTTATTGTTCACAATCATCGGTTTAAAGATTCAACTAGTCTGCTTCCACGAAAGGCAATATTCCTAAATATTAGTGATATGAAGATCACAAGCACATACTCTATTCATTGGTTTACTTAGGGCATTCGAAAAGTAGCAGCGGTGACTCTTTAATACGGAATAGAACGTTTGAGAAAACTTTCATTCTATAAGTACTGATAGTACAAGAAATGCTCTATATGTTTGCAATATTTCATGATTATTCAACTAACATCGTCATAATAAAATTTCGATAAAAAACTGTTCGCTATGATACGCGACGATAATAGCAACAAATGCTCATTTCGAAGAAAAGCAAAAGGTGAATGAATATTTTTTGAATACATGTTCGGTAGGAACTAGACAGAAGACTGCAGTTTTTATCATTCATATAAGCTGATTCAATAGCAACAATACGTTCATTAGAATTATTCATAGGTCCGAGTTCATAATTAATAAAATAAAGTATTTCAAGTATTGGATTAACAGCAATAACCCTTGATGATTCAATATTTGTTATTAATTTAGTTGCATAACGTTCATCATTTTTTAAAATCTATATACAACCATGAATAAGACCAGAAACATAAAGATTTTGACTAATCCAATCAATAGTAATACTACTTGGAATTATTAAATGATTATTATCTTCGTTTAAAAGTACTTGTAGATGTACTGTTGATATTGTATTTGGTGTAAGATGTGCATGATAAATTTTTGATGCAGCTTCACCTATCCAATAGAATATACGATTATTTATATCAATAGAAATAAAACTAGTATCATGCTGATCTTCAACAAATACATCATAATGTGATGCATTTTCTATTGGATTTCGACAAAGACGACCAATTTCATCAGGTTCAGATATCATAAGATCAATTGTTTGATCTGTACAATAAAAAAGAAAAGATAAATAAAAATATTTGTTTTTGTATTAAAATTCTAAAAAATAAAATATAATTATGAAGGTATGTGATCATTAACGATTGAGTCGAAAACGAGATTATGACCCTAAAAAAAAATTATTTGCATTCAATCATGAGAGAATAAGACTTCCTGATTTAATTTTTTTTTATCTTTCGACATTTATAATGAAACTCTATATTTTCTCAAATGTCTACGTAGGAATTCAATAGTTTTGTTTTTTTTTAATAAAAAATTTTACCTCCTGCATAACAATCCGATCTATTAACTGCACTTCGTTGAAAACCAGTTGCACATTCACATCGAAAACTACCTCTTTTATTAACACATATTTGTGAACAATAATTTAAAGTAACATTTTCATATTCATTTATATCTTCACATGTAAATGATTCTTTATTATATTTATAACGTGTATTACGTGGACAAACAATTCCTCATCCATTTGGTAAATCATGACATCGTTAATCACAATGATTTGTTTGATTAGCACATGTTATTTGTTATATTATGACGACATGATAATTCATCTCATTCATCACCATAATCATCAGCTAAATTAGCTAAATTAATAAGAAATTAATCAAAATTATTTTGTTTTATAAATATTTACTTTCATCACATAAATCTGAATATCGATACAACGATTTGTATGAGTACAATGAAATTCTGGACATATTTACTAGTCGATTTGATTGTGTATACATCATAAATATCTTCATCACTACCATCATCACAATTATCTGTGTGATCACATATATCGCATCGATAGATATATCGACCATTTGTACACCTTTAAATCAAATTAAAATATAAAACGCGATATAAATGCTGTTGATAATAACAGGAAGAGTGTTTTATTTTTTTTCTATTTTGGAACATATTTCTTCATTATCCTTTTACTTAATTCTCCCCAAATCGAGACCTACATCTTAGTTGGCGAATAAGAGCTTAATTAGGAACGGGCTGAGTTTTCTTAGCGTGGGCCAAATTCGGAAAAACTAAGTTGGAACAAATCAACCAGGAACATTTGGGGAAGATACTTGTGACGCGACGTTATCGACATATGGTCCGTGGAATGGATCCAAATTTTTACTCCTATATTTCAACACTTCTTTTAGATTGTGTTTCACAAAAGATGTGTTTCTGTTTTCTTCTTATCGACAGAAAAAAGAAAAAAATTCTCATACCGAAAACGATTTGTTGAATTACAAGGTACTGTTCGACATAATTCAAATGTTTCATCACTCAATAAAAAAAATGGAATCATAAAATATGTTGATATTTTTTATTGATTACCTATTATCAAGACAATCATTATCTAAAATAGAAGTATTTTATTATAATTCATTAAGAAAAAAAACTACCGATGAAACCTCCTACCTCCATCACAAACCCAATCTTGATTAACCCTTTGACTTCATGGTTTTTTGAAAGAAAATTTAATTTTTCTTTTATATTATCCTTGATCAGAAATTTATCTATATTTCTAATGCATGAAAATTTATTATAAGTAAGCGTGTCAAAAATTTTTCAAAGTGTGGTGCACTTCAGAATAAAGTATAACACATAAATGAACATTATGTAGATAGAAACATTTCTTAGTAGAACTTCAGATTTTAGAAAATTTTTCCGTAGAAGTCAGTTGTATTATATTTATTATACGTTAGTGATAATCAGTATAAAAGAATTATAACATTTATTGCAGCTCAAAACTGCCTGATAAAAGTTTTTACGAAAACTGATATCACATATGAATCTATGAGTTCCAATATACTAGAACGATTAATCTTTTTGTATCCAATGTCGTTTTTTTATCGAAAATCGATATTCATGCTTCGCACCGCATTTCGTATTCGAGTGAAACTCGAATACCATCTAATATTTGTTTGTTTCTCTCTATGATACATGTCATCGAGAGGATATTCATTAATTTTATTGATGTTGATTATTCGACATCGAGCTTACCGCACATCTAGGCATCTCACCCCCTCCCCCTCCTCGAACATTGTAATGCATTTTAGATATCTTGGACCAATCCGAATTCCAATGAGTTATGTATATATATCACTTTGTAGCTCTTTCTTTGCTCTATCGAATGGGTATATGAGCGAAGGCGGCTCGCATGGAAAAAACATTCAAATAGGTCAAATTGAGATTAGATGGGATGTAATAAAATTATATGAAATGATGCAAAATTAAATACTCTTTCTAATGAAGACATATAGGACTCAGAATATTTTCAAAACTTTCTACAATCTAGTCAAATATTAGACTACTATAGATATACTGAAAACGCATCGAAAGCCCTTTAAAGTTTCAATAGTTTTTCTTATAATGTTTTCGTCTCAAAGCTATCTCCCGTATTCAAAATTTCGCTTGAGTTTGCTGCCGAGAAACTAACCTCACTCTTCTGCATAAAACTACTAATGAACCATCTATGAATGGTTAATGGTCCAATTTGGCTTGCTAGTAAAACAAAGATACTTATTAAGAAGTGATAATTAATAACGTTACTGATTTTATTTATAGAAAAAAAAAAAGAAACAATATTGTTTTTTTTATTCAAAGCAATATTCTACGATATAGATACAATTGATAGAACGAAAGTAAGAATGGCACACAGAAAAAAAAAGAATTTTTATGTTTATACAATGAGCATAAATGGCTTTGTAAATAAAAACATTTGACTTTTCAATTTGCTAGACAACCGTCGTTGGACTATCGTGAGCGAGAACAAGCTAAAACAAAAACAAAAATTTATAATTCTATTTAAGGAAAAAAAATTTCAATTTAAATCCCAACAACCCAATAGTAAAGAAAAGTTATTTTCTCATGCTCTCCAAATAAATCACTCATGCAAATCAGATATATATATTTTTTTTTTTTCGAAATGAGCAGCAAGATATAAACCCACTTCGTCCTCAATAGTATCAGCCAATGTTGATTCTTTTCGTTGAAAACGCTAAATTATATAATTAAAACATTGATAAAAGAGCAAAAAAATAAACGAACAAAAAAGAAAAAAAATAATCCAATGATTTACTTTAAGACTGGGTGATATACCATTCGGAATGCCATTTTCATTCATTGGACAAACTAGATCATCAGCTTCAATTGAACGTGTTCGGCGATGAGAAAATAAACCTCGTGAAATTTTAATTTTTGTATGTGGTGTTAAGGATTGATAATTTGGTGATTTTTCATATTGATTTTTACGATTTTGTAAATCATTACCAATTAATTCTTGATAACGCATTGTTAAATGTCGTCTTAATAATGTTTTTGACATTGGTATGGATAATATTTCTGCTAATGTCGATGCATTAAAACGTAATTCAAGAATCTAAAAGAAAAACCGATCATTTTTATTTTTAATTCTTCTTAAATAAAGAATTTTTGCTATTTCTTACAATTAAAGCACCACAAACACCTGATCCACGTAAATTTGGTGCATATTCAGATAAATCAATTGATCTTAACCATTCCATAACACGATGATTTGACCAATGCATAATTTCAGTCATATCATTTTTATCATCTGGACTTGGACGTCGTTTTATACATGTTGGATTAAAACCATTTAAACGTAAAACTTGTATAGCACGTTTTATACTTAAATGATGAAGTTCATTTGTTATATTTAAATAAATAATATCTTCCTTTAATAGAAAAAATAAACAAACAATTGAAGAATAAAATTAATTAAGAAAAAAATTGTTTTTTTCTTACAAGAGTTAAATTATTAAGTAAACGTCCATCAACTTTTGATTCAGCAAAATATTCTTTATATTGTGGTAAACCAATATCATCAAGCCATTCTTTAAAAGAAAAATAATAATTAAATTATTAATAATTAGTTTTAATTAATATATCTATATATATATATATATACTTTGAACCCAATGTGTATCAAGAATATTTGCTTCAGTTTGTCGTGTACATAAACCATTTAAACATAATTGAAGTTTTTTACGATGTAATGGATTACGCATGCCTATTTTCTTAAAATTTATTAAAAGAAAATTATTTGTTAAATATATATTCAAGTTATTTTTATAATACTTTTTCTAATTCTTGTGGTGTTGCATGTAACAATTGTAATCCGTTTTTAAAATGTTTACGACATTCACTTGCATATTGACCAAGACCAATACCATATAACCAATTTACAACTTGTTCAGTTTGCCAACGAGAAAATGTTGTTTCTAAAGCACTAAAAATAAGAAAAATACATAGATATAATATACTTATTTATATTGAAGCCCATCCACACTTATTGCAAAAAAAAGTCAATTTTCGTCACACAGAAGGCTTTGAATTCCCAAGTGAACTATTTTCGACCCTTGTTGGTTGAATATTTCGCGAGAACGTCATGGTATAGAGCTGAAAACTATAGCATAGTCTCTCCATCATAGCCCTAATATATGCCGAAAATTTTATACGATTTGAATGTATCTAGCCCAAGAGTGATTTTTGAAAGGACAGATGACCTTAATAATATTTTAAATTACAGAATTTTGAGTGTTTTACTTAATTATATTTTGTTTAGTTTTCTACAAAACGGTAGTATTATCTTAGAATAAAATGAACTTCGCTATTTCGTATCTGTTCAAAAGAAATTAAAAACATATTTTAGTTCTCTCAATTGAAGAATTATAACTTTCCAAAAAAAAGTACTTTTTAACTTCTTTTCAATCGATAAGAATCATCTTGTATAACAGTCATTATATGTATACCACGACCAATTCTACTCGCATAAAGATTCTAAACTTTTGCTTGGGTTATTAAGCAATCCTTAACTCAATAGTATTTTTAAACTAAGTTTGAACAATATCTTATCAATTTCATCAAAGAAAATCTGTTAGAAAGATGATTCTTTTCTATGATCGCTCCATGAAAAATTGTTTGAAAAATTCTAATATCACAACAAGAAGATTTTGCAATAAGGTTAATGATTTGGTTCTATACCTAAAACAACATATTCACAAAGATAGAATAGATTTTCCATCCATCTATGAACTTCATTAAGCAATTCTTCATGCAAGTAGATCGTGGCTCATATGTAATGATTGATAAGATTTATCTATATGTTACTAATCACGGAACTGTTTAAACTGATTAATCAATTTTTCTTCGAAAGTTATTGAAAAATACGTTATCGACCATGTTGACTCCGAATATTTGAATGAAAATTCTCCTTACATCTTCATATGTTGGTTTCCCGGACTGGCAAACTTCTTGCGAAAAATTTTATTTTTGAATCTATTCGGATTGTAAAGCATATTGAATTGCTTACAAAACAGTAACTTTTTATGTTTCAAATCGTTTTGTTTTGGAGAAAATACAGTCATTCTAATTCATTCAATAGATATATATCAATATTTCAATGTGAAAATCTTCAAGAGGATATTATTTTACCTAAAACTCATTTATTACAAAGAGAATTCGCTACACTCTATAATTTAAGGAAATGCAAAACAATTTCGGTAATATTTTCGTTAGCCTAGAAAATTGACATATAAAGACCTAAGACAATTTCTTATGTTCATATTCGGAGTCAAGATGATCGATAACCTGCCATTCAGTAGTTTTTGTTGAGAAAACGATTAATCAGTTGAAACTATTCTCTCATAAGTAAACATGAGAAGGACGAAAGAAATACTTAAGCAACCAATCAAGGATGTATTCACATGACTTAATTATACTTGGTCCAATATCCCGAAATCTAATGAATTGAAAGACTTTAATATAATATTATTTTTCATTACCTGAGTGGTTTAATTGATGTTTTCCCACTATTAGTTGTTGCTCTTAAACCACCACGATGAAATGAATTTTGTACTTGAGATTCATTATCTTCACGAAAATTTCCTGAGTTAGTACGAATGATTCTAAATTATTGAGAATAAATTGTTTTTTTTTTTTAAATAATAGTTTCTTTTTTGTTTTGTTTTAGTTTTACCTTCCAAATATACTTTTTAATCCTTTTGCACTTGATGATTTATTTTTATCTAAATTTGTTGCTGAAGATTTTTTATAAATTGAATATTTTTGACTTGGTCCATCAGATATATAACCACTTTGATCATCTAAATATATAAAATAATTATAGATATCTTATTAAATTTTATTCTTTTTTTTTTTTTTTTTTATTGTTACATGCACGATCAATTCGTTCATCGGATGGAAGTGTTCGCATTATTGTTGATTGTTGTTGTTTATCACGAATAGGAGTCTAAATAATAATAAAAAAAAAAGAAAGATTCT